CATGTCTCATTAAGAGCCACATCTACTGTTTTAGCGTGGTGAGATGTGTTCCACACTGGGCATGCATACTCAGCAGCAGAGTAGCATAGCGGAAGGGCAGATGTCTTCACTGTGTCTGGTTGTGATCCCCAGGTTGTGCCAGTCAGCTTTCATATGATATTGTTTCTAGCAATATCATATGAAAGAACAATACAATAAGTGGAACGAAGAACAATTTTAACCACCGTAAACATACCAGTCTTTCAATTGGAAGTGTAGGCCTACGTTTGGCTGATAAGATAGTCAAGTTAATTAGTGTTGTTGTTGTTTTGTGCCTTTAAGTCATTTCAGATAGACAGGTCGCAGGTTCGAATCCAGGGAGAGGCGGATGAGCTCCCTCTATCAGCTCCAGCTCCTCACTCGGGGACATGAGAGAAGCCTCCCACAAGGATGATAAAACACAAGGATGATAAAACATTATGTTAATCCCAAAACACTTTGGGATTAACATAACTCAAAAACCACTGGATGAATTGACATGAAATTTGGACACAATGCACCTATCAGGCCAACAAGTGACCATCACTCATAAAAAGACTGAAAAACACAGCAGAATGGACGTAAAAAGTCAAAAAAGCAAAAAGACACTACAGCATGTGTGCAGAATGACTCCCCCTGGCAAGATACAATGGCATATCTACACTCTCTTCAGGACTACAGCTTCCAGCATCCCCTAAACGAGACCCTTTAGGAGAAGAGGATGATCCAAATGCACTGCTTCCAAGATGCAAGCTTTCTTCTCCTTGGATTACTTTGAGAATATCCCAATCCCTGCATATTTCCAATTTCCTATTCCTGGACTGCAACGCCCAGCAATCCTCCAGATAGATAGATTAGATAGAGATAGATAGGTAGATAGACTGATCAGGAGGACTGCTGGGAGTTGCAGTCCAAGAATAGGTAGAGAAGGAAGAAAAGGGGAGAAAGGGGAAGAAAAAGGGGGGGAGGATGGGAAGAGTAAGAGAAGGAAGGAAGGAGAGAGGAAAAGAAAAAAAGGGAAGAAAGGAGAGAAAGAGGGAAGGTTGGCCACAGCAACGTGTGGCAGGAACAGCTAGTGGTAAAATAAAAAGGTATGCTTTGCATGGAACTAATTGTGAAAGCAGCTATTCATGTTTGTTTTTTGTGAATTATCCTATTCTACAGATGGCAAGCTGACACTTGATTTATATACCTGCTGGTAGTATCTTAGCAACATTGTTGAAGACATTGTTTTGGGGGGAAGGCCTTTAAGCACATTCTGTTATACACAAGCGTTGCCGATTGTAAAACAGAGGTCAAGAACTGTTTAACAACTTCTTCAAAAGGGAATGCTGTTTATACTGTTGACTTAAGAGAAACAATCTTGAAGAATCCCTTCTCTCCTCCTCCTGACTGCTGTAGAGAACCTTCTTTGGGTGTTACATTCACTTTCAAACTGTATTACTTTGCATTGCTCGTTGTACATGGAACACACTCCCAAATGAGATAAAATCTGCTCCCTCCCTCCTGGCTTTTAGAAAGAAATTAAAATTATGGTTTTGGGACCAGGCCTTCGGACAATAGATGTATGTAGAGTTTTAGAGAGACATAAACTGGAATGGCAACACGACTGGCGAGATGGCTTTATTGTTTTAATGCTGTTGATGTATTGTTTAATTTATGATTTATGTTAATTTGTGGTTTTTATTGTAACTGTTATGTATTGGCATCATGTCAGGTGCCCAATGCACGGCATTGAATTTTGCCATCTGTGTGTAAACTGCTTTGAGTCCCCCCAGGGGTGAGAAAAGCGGTATATAAATGCTGTAAATAATAAATAAATAAATAAATAAATAAATAAATACATGTGATGTGTCTGAATGTATCAGAGATTTGGTATCTCAGACAGAGAAACTAGGTGTACTTACCTATAAATCTGAAAGTCTAAATTGTCCACATAGATGATATGGACAGAAATGGTTTAATATACAAAATAATTAAAATACTTAGAATCACTTTGGACTTTATTTATTGAGCTTAAATGAAAATTGTGTTTAAACGTGGGTTCCATCTCCAAGATATCTCATTATGTACATACATATATGCAATGACTGGCATCTTTCCAGTATTCTTGTCAATCCTGGGAGTGCTTAAGGATGGGATAGTAACCTTCCAGTGATATTATATTACTTGCTCAGGATTTATTGAAGACTTTCCAACCAATTAATATAATTGGAACAGTCCTAATAGCAGTAGTGGCATAGTGGCCATTTCCATGCCAATGGGGAAAGGGTAGCTGCTGTGAATAGATTTATTAAAAAGTAGCAAGAAAAGCAACCACTGTAAAATATACATTTATATATTAGATACAGATGAAGAGATTATTATTAGTCACCTCCAAGGAAGAGTCTCTCCACTTTCAATTTCTGAGCCTGTTTTCCCTGCATTAGGCACCTGGCTGAAGGAACCTGATGGAACGCAATTTTCTCCCAGCAGCCAAAGGGCCAGCTGAGGACTTGGGGTCACTCTGGCTCACTCTTCTCTGCTGCCAGCTTTCATGGGCAGAACAACAGTCATGTGCAGCCTTGCCTGTCTGAGAAAGAGGGAAGACGTCATTTCAGCCCCTCAGCATTGTGAGACAAAAGGAATAGGCACTGGCAAAGAATGTGCCCTGCTCACTTCGTATGGAACCCCAACATGCAGCTCATCTAACATTTTCATTGCGAAAGGACTATTTATTTATTTACTAGCTTGGGGACCCGGTTATTTGAGAAAGGCATTGTTTGTCTGTGCTCCAAGTTGGGTCATGGGTCATGGGGGCTCTGGGTGCCAAGTTAGGTCTTGATCAGTCATTGGTGTGGGTTGCAATGGTCTCAGGAAGTGAGTGAAGGTACTGCAAGTCCCATTGTCCATGGCCCATCCTCCTCCAAACCGCACCAAACTGTAGAATGGGTCATGGGGGCTCTGGGTGCCAAGTTAGGTATTGATCAGTCATTGGTGTGGGTTGCAATGGTCTCAGGAAGTGAGTGAAGGTACTGCAAGTCCCATCGTCCATGGTCCATTGGCCCACAAACCCCACCTAGAAATAGAGTGGGTCATAGGGGCTCTCTGTGCCAAGTTTGGTGCTGATCTGTCATCGGTGAGGGTCACAGTGGTTTGTGGGAGTTAAAGCGATTGAAAGTACTGCAAATCTCATCATCCATGGTCCATCCTCCCCCAAACTGCACCAGGACATAAAGTGGGTCATGGGAGTTATGTGTGCCAAGTTTGGTCCAGGTTCCTCGCTCGTGCAAGTCGCAGTGGCCTATGGAAGTGGGAGCCAATCAAAAAGCTGCCACATACCCATAAATGTATATACATACAAACGTACATATATACATACATACAAACACTAACAGACACACACACACACATATGGCAGTTATGATACAACCTCTATGCCCATGGAACCAGTATTTGTGGTTTCATGTCTAGGAATTTTCTAAGTCCTACACATAGTTCTATGGTTTACTTCCACTACTAGTTATTATAGTGTGGCCATGAAGGATCTAGGAAATTCACAAAAAGGAGACATCTCTAGGAATTTTCTAAGTCCTCCAGGGCAATTCTATGGTAACTTCCTGCAGAAGTTATTCATTTTAGCAAGGTTCACTATTATTCATTTTCTTGTTTCCACATATTCCCCTCAGAAACAGGGATTGTACTTTATTTATAGCCGCATGACCCTCCAAGGCCCCATTATAACTGCTTCCTATATTCCTATATTCATAATGTCATGTGGGAAGGAGCAAGATATAGTAGCATATAAAATCATTGTAATGGCATTTTACTTTTGTGTATTAACAAACACACCTGTCCAATACAGCTCAAGAAATTATACTTCTTTTTAATTATTACATGTTTTAATTTAGCTTTCTTTGTCTTTCTACCAGAACTATTTAACTGTTTATTGTGGTGTGTGTGTTTTTTTAGTTAAATTGGTTAACATTTTTATTTATTTATTTATTTATTTATTTATTTATTTATTTATTTATTTGCTGTATTTATATACCGCCTTTCTCAGCCTATCAGCGACTCAAGGCAGTTTCCAACAAACAGTATACATAATATCATAATACAGATTAAAACATTTAAACAGTATAAAACACAACAAAGGCAATAAAAAACAACATCATTGGTGTCTCCTTGTTATCAAGCATTGTCCAGTTCCTTCGTCAAGTGGTTAGATTTCCTATATCAATTACTCTGCATTTGTAAACGCTTGCTCAAATAGCCATGTTTTAACTTGCCTCGGAAATGTTAAGAGGGAGGGAGCAGATCTAATCTCTCTAGGGAGGGCGTTCCATAGCTGAGGGGCCACCACTGAGAAGGCCCTGTCTTTCGTCCCCGCCAGACGTACTTGTGACGAAGGCGGGACCGAGAGCAGGGCCTCCCCGGACAATCTCAAGGTCCTTGATGGTTCATAAGGGGAGATGCGTTTGGACAGGTAAGTTGGGACAGAACCTTTTAGGGCTTTATAGGCCAAAACCAGCACTTTGAATTGGGCCCAGTAGGAAACCAGCAGCCAGTGGAGCTGGCGCAACAAAGGGGTTGTATGCTCCCTGAGAGCCACTCCTGTTAGCAACCTGGCTGCCGTTCATTGGACTAGTTGAAGCTTCCAGACCGTCTTCAAAGGCAACCCCACGTAGAGCGCATTGCAGTAGTCTATATGGGATGTAACCAGAGTGTGGACTACCATGGCTAAGTCAGACTTCCCAAGGTATGGGCGCAGCTGGCACACAAGCTTTAATTGTTCAAATGCTCCCCTGGTCATTGCCAAAATCTGAGGTTCCAGGCTCAGCAATGAGTCCAGGATTTAAATTCTGTTACCACCATACTTTAAAGAAGCCAACCTTTTGAAAGGGCAACTTTTGGGGGGGGGGGGGGGGAGAGAGATCAACATTTCAAAATCAGAGAGTGCTAATTTAATTTTTATTTTCTTATTTCCTCTGTATTCCATGTAGGTGATGTCTCTCCTGTGCATATGAATCCCATTTCGCAATCCCAGTTTGTGCCTTTGGAAGAAGTCTTGTGCTGTGCTATATCTGATATGAATGCGGCTCATATTACGGTTACACAGGACACTTTGCTGGATCAGTTGGGGAAACATTACCCAGGTAATCTGTTAAATCACGGGCTGCTGACACTTAATATAAACATTAAACTCAGAGGGTTTGCAGCTGGCAGAGTGGAAGAATGAGTGGTATCTGGGAACTGGGAAGAAAAATTAATTGTTCTTGCTTACACTGCCCTGGAAATAGGACTTTCTTGCAATTATCCAATTTCTAGAGGGAAAATGACTTTAGAAATCTGAGAATAATGGTGATAATGTGGAAACACTGTAGTGGGAGGCACTTGGAAAGTTTGATTCCACAACTCCTGTTTTAACGAGCCCCACTCCACAAATAGCCTGCTTTTCCTTTATCTCACCCAAGTTTTTAATCAGTTTTAATTAGTTTTTCTTTTAATCATTACATGTAGCCTGCCCATTGTCACTGTGATTGTGTTTATTGTAATTGTATATCGTTCACGTGTTTTATGTAATCATGATGTTGTTTATTTTTTGCGTTTTTTTCTGGTTTTATTTTGCTGTAATTTGTTGTTTGGACTTGGCCTCATGTAAGCCGCCCCAAGTCCCCATTGGGTATAAATAAAATTTATTATTATTATTATATTATTATTACTAGCTGTACCAGCCACGTGTTGCTGTGGCCAACATTCCCTCCCTCTTTCTCTCCTCCCTTCCCTCTTTCCTTACTTTCCTCTTTTTCTTTCCCTATCTCTCAAGTTTCTTCCATCTCTACCTGTTTCTTTCCTCCCTTTCTTTGCTCTTTGGTTCCCTTCCTTCCTTCTTCCTTCCTTCCTTCCTTCCTTTCTCCTTCTCTCCTTCCTTGCTTTCTACTTTCTTTCTTTCCTTCTTTCCCTCTCCTTCTTCCTTCCCTCTTTCCCTCCTTCTCTCGTTACTTCTTGACTGTCCCTTCCATTTAATATTGTATTTATATCTTACATAGAAAGAAGGAAAGGAAGAAGGAAGGAAGGAGGGACAGGAAGGAAGGAAAAAGGAAGGGAGGGAGGGAAAGAAGGGAAGGAAGGAAAAGAAAGAAGGAGGGACAGGAAGGGAGGGAGGAAGGAAGGAGAAGGAAGGAAGGAAGGAAGGAAGGAAGGAAGGAAGGAAGGAAGGAGGGAAAGAAAGGAGGGGGATGAAGAAAGGAGGGAGGGAAGGAAATGAAGGAGAAGGAAATGAAGAAAGGGAAAGAAGGAGGAAAGGGAGGGAGGAAAAGAAGGAAAGGAAAAAGGAAGGAGGGACAGGAAGGAAGGGAAGGAGGGAAAGAAGAAAAGGAAAGAAGGGAAGGGAGGGAGAGAAGGAAGGTCCTTCATTCAAGCACCGTGGACCGTCCTCGCCTCCTCTTCCTTCCCCTCCTCCTCCTCCTCTTCCCCTTCTTCCTTGCGTGGAGCACTCCATTGCTGCTGCTGGCACTTTCCAACAGGGAAAGGAGGAGGAGACTGCTCTCCTGACATAGGAGGGGAAGAGAAGGGGCTGCATGCGGCAAGCCTCCACCTCCACTCCACTCGCGCGTGTGTGTGTGTGTGTGTGTGGCCGTGCACGTGGCTTTAACGGCCGGCTGTTTCCCCGTGAGGAGGAGGAGGGGGTGTGGCCATGGGTCTCCTTTATGGACATGCAGTTTAGAAGTCCTTTCTGATTTTTGTTTTTGTTGTGCTTTTTGTTTGGGTTGTTAGGGACATAGTGTCCAAATTTGGTGTCAATTGCCCCAGTGGTTTCTGAGTTCTGTGAATAGCACAAACGAACATTACATTTTTATTTATATAGATTGTGTAGTGAGGGCAAAATCTGTAATATTCCCCTTCTACCTCTGGAAGACCTGGCCCTCAGTGACATCGCTTAGTTGGGCGAGCAATTGTTGGAGGTGCACAGTCCTGTATTTATTACACTCACAGTGTGTTCTACTCATGATACTTTCAGGAACTTTGCTCCTCTCATCTCCATTTACAAATACACCCCTTCACTCAGTTAGATTCATTATGAGAGTGGCAAAGGAAAATACTTTTCATATAGTCCGATTAGGTCAAAAGAAGCCATGGGAGGTGCTCCATATCTGAAAACAATGGATAGGGGCTTCTTTGTAACATTCTGAATCCCCATATGTTCAAAATAAGCTTTTTCCTTCTGGTGTGTGAATGGTTTTCCCTTCCTGTCTAGAACAGGAGTGGGAACTTTTCCTGCCAAGAGGCATTTGGATATGTGTAACATAATTTGCAGGCAATTAATTAATTAATTAATTAATAAAATTATAAATTATAAAATATATTAAAAATTAGATAAAACTTCCAAAGTCTGCATAGCACAGGCTGTTGCATGCGTGCATACAGTACATGCTTACTGATTCTGGCTCAGCCAGCAGGAACAAACTACGGTAACTTTTTTATTAAAGAAAAAATTAGGAAACCCAATTAGACACACAGTTTGGTCCAAGTTTGAGGAATATGAAAAAAGGGCAATAAACAAAAAATTAAAAGACACTATATCAATTTTTTCGGATGGAAAAAAACAAGATGATAGATCTACTTTGCTGAACATTTAATTCACTTATTTTTACTCTGAACACAAAACATTTTCGTACAGACAAATTTAAGCTGCAAACGATTAGATGGAAGTCACCAAGATTTTTATTTGATTTTTTTTTAATAAACCTTGAATTATAGAATCATAGAATCAAAGAGTTGGAAGAGACCTCTTGATCCATCCAATCCAGCCTCTGTTTAAAAGCTTCCAAAAAAGGAGCCTCCCCCACATTCCGGGGCAGAGAGTTCCACTGCTGAACGGCTCTCACAGTCAGGAAGTTCTTCCTCATGTTCAGATGGAATCTCCTTTCTTGTAGTGTGAGGCCATTGTTCCACGTCCTAGTCTCCATGGAAGCAGAAAACAAGCTTGCTCGCTCCTCCCTGTGGCTTCTTCTCACATATTTATACATGGCTATCATGTCTCCTCTCAGCCTTCTCTTCTTCAGGCTAAACATGCCCAGCTCCTTAAGCCGCTCCTCATAGGGCTTGTTCTCCAGACCCTTGATCATTTGCGTCACCCTCCTCTGGACACATTCCAGCTTGTCAATATCTCGCTTGAATTGTGGTGCCCAGAATTGGACACAATATTCCAGGTGTGGTCTAATCAAAGCAGAATAGAGGGGTAGCATGACTTCCCTAGATCTAGACACTATGCTCCTATTGATGCAGGCCAAAATCCCATTGGCTTTTTTTGCCGCCACATCACATTGTTGGCTCATGTTCAACTTGTTGTCCACGAGGACTCCAAAATCTTTTTCACACGTACTGCTCTCGAGCCAGGCATTGTCCCCCATTCTGTATCTTTGCATTTCGTTTTTCCTGCCAAAGTGGAGTATCTTGCATTTGTCCCTGTTGAACTGCATTTTGTTAGTGTTGGCCCATCTCTCTAATCTATCAAGATAGTTTTGAATCCTGCTCCTGTCCTCTGGAGTATTGGCTATCCCTCCCAATTTGGTGTCGTCTGCAAACTTGATGATCCTGCCTTCTAACCCTTCATCTAAGTCATTAATAAAGATGTTGAACAGGACCGGGCCCAGGACAGAATCCTTTTTTGCCTTTTTTGTTTTTATTTTTCTATTTTATCTTCCTACTTTTCTATCATATCATTGTTCTCCCTCTTTATTTGTAGAAGATAACCCCCCTCTCATCCCCATATCCCCACATCCCCCCACTTCCTCCTGTGTATCCCTAATTACAATAATATATATATATATACAAAAAAAAAAGAATGGAAGAAGTGGAATGCACCTGTGTGAGGAAAGGAACCTGGAAGCAACTCTAAATAGTAAGGGACACCCAACCCACAGAAGAGTCAGTGTGGCAGGTCAGAGGAACAACAGGAGCTGAGTTAAGTGGACAGATGGGGGCAGACTTGCAAATGATTTTTGCGGGCCTTATACACCCACAGGCCAGACGTTCCCAACACTCCTGCCAACCTAGCCTCAAAAGGAGAAGAAAGCAACTTCTTTTGCAACTCTCATAATGGATCCAACTGAGTGAGTGGGCTTATTTGTAAATGGGGAGGGGAGGAGCCTCTTTGTAAATCAGCAAAGTTCCTGACCAGAGGAGGGCAAGCAGGGCTTAGAAAACCTCTGGCCCTTCTCTCCCTTGTGAGGCACACAACAGGCAATTTAACCTTGGTCTCAATCCAGGGAGGCCATCAAAAGTGCTCCCTCAGAGCTCTGCAGTCTTAGGTGCGAATTATTGCTTTGATAGCTGATCTAATTCTGCATTTTGGATCTGGAACATATCCATTGACTGTTGAAGTCTTTTCTGAGTGCTGTAATTTTGTTAATCTTAATCTGAGGCCCCTTTTACACTGCCCTATAGGATCTGATCCAAGATTATCTGCTTTAAACTGGATTATATGAGTCTCCATTGCCAGATTATCTGGGATAAGAAGATAATCTGGGATCAGATCCTGGGATATAGGGGCAGTATGGAAAGGACCAGAGTTTCTGTTTTTGCAAGGATTGCTATTGAACCCAACCCTCTGCCTGGCATAGGATAATAATAATAATAATAATAATAATAATAATAATAATAATAATAATAATAGATTTTGTCGATGTTCATTGTTTCCAAGCGCCAAAAGATCTCAGATGGCATTTGGAAACAATAAACATTGACAAAATCACGTTCTGTCAACTGCAAAAGGCGCACATCATTTGAAAATACATCACACAGTCCTAGATGCTTGGGGAAGTGTTTGACTTGTAATTTTGTGATACGAAATATAGATCTCATTTGCTGTGACATACTGTGCTTTTGTGTCAGAATAATAATAATAATAATAATAATTTTATTTATACCCTGCCACCATCTCCCCAAGGGGACTCGGGGTGGCTTATATGAGGCCAAGCCCAACAATTACAATAAAGCAATGCTAATACAATGACAATAAAATAAAAATAAAAGGTAAAATAGAAAAAAAACAATATAAAACTCATCACACAATATAAAATCACAATTAGACACAGAAAATAAATAACAATGAGCAGGGCTATTAGCAAGGAATTAAAAGTTTAAAACACTG